AACTACCCCTCTACCCAACCCCACCCTCTCAAAAAAAAAAAAAAGACCAAAAGAATTTACTTCTTCTATTTATCTATTGTGAAATAGGTTAATTTCTCATCCTATTATAGAAGAAAGAGACTTTGTGCCTTTGTTGAATATTAGATGTAGAAATATTATGTTAATACTAGACTTAATATTCAGTCTGTGATAATCAAAAGATTATTCTTTATGGTAATTAGAATAAAGTTTCCGAATAAAGTGTTTTTTACCTAAAAGCATTTTAAGCTGACAAAATATCAAAGGAGATAGGGTTTAATGTAACTAAGTAGTCTTTGCAAATTTATAAAGTGACTGTGTTGTCTTTCAGCTTATAATTGAAGTTCTTGAAGATAGTTTTTTGGCCTTGAGGTAGTTAACTGTATTGCTTGCCTGTTTGATGATACAAATTACATGTTCCTTACATTTAGATATCTGAGATTTCCTATTTATGATCCAGTTTAAACGTTATATTACTGGATAATGCATGCCAATGTTTTAAAAAGGATATGCACATATATTTAATAATGTACATTACTTTCTACCTCTCTGGAGTTAGTGCCAGTGCTGCCATTCATGCCAAAGAATGCCCTTCCTTCTTTCTTTAGGTGCTTTCTGCAGTTTTCTCCTGGGTGCAAGCTACATTTCCTGCCTTCTGAGACCCATTCCAGAACTAAACCATTCTCTGTACTGAAACCCAGAATACCAACCATTAACAACTACTGCCATCTCTGCCACATAAAACATCAGAAGCTGCTTTTTGACTTGCCATAAAGTTGCTATCTTTTCTGTTTTCTATTGGTGATAAAACATACATGAGCTGGGTGCAGTGATGCGTGCCTGTAGTTCCATATGCTCAGGAGGCTCAGGTGAGAGGATCACTTGAGCCCAGGAGTTTGAGGCCAACCTAGGCAACGTAGCAAGAATCTGTCTGAAAAAAAAAAAGAAAAAAGTAATTAAATTATATGTTTATTACGTAACTTTTCTCCTGTTTCTAAGACATTCCATACCAGAAGTTCTAAAGTTTTAACCAAGTTTTCAAAAATGTAGGCTGGAGCCAGGCACAGTGGCTCACACCTGTCATCCCAGCACTTTGGGAGGCCAAGGCAGACAGATTGCTTGAACTCAGGAGTTTAAGACCAGCCCAGGCAACATGGTGAAACCCTGTCTCGACAAAAAATACAAAGATTAGTCGGATATGGTGGTACATGCCTATCATCCCAGTTACTTGGGAGGCTGAGGCAGGAGGATGGCTTGATCTTGGCGGTCCAGGCTGCCGTGAGCCCGAGATCGCGTCACTGCACTCTAGGCTGGGCACAGTGGCTAACATCTGTATTCCCAGCACATTGGAAGGCCAAGACAGGAGGAATACCTGAGCTCAGGAGTTCAAGACCAGCCTGGGCAACATAGTGAAACCCCATCTCTACAACAAAAAACCCCAAATTAGCTGGGCATGGTGGCGCATACCTGTAGTCCCAACAACTCCAGAGGCTGAAGTGGGAGGAATGCTTAAGCCTGGGAAGCAGAGGTTGCAGTGAACCAAGATTGTGCCACTGCACTCTAACCTGGACAACAGAGTGAGACCCTGTTTCAAAAAAAAAAAAACTTTTTAAAAATGAAATCTTTTTTCTTTTCACATTTTAATTTTGAAGTTAATCTTATGTGTCATTTTGTGTTCTAAATCTTCAAAGATCAACCTGTTTTTTTTTTTTTTATGTTAATTGTATTTGTTTTGGATTCAAAGATGAATGCCAGAGACTCTTAACTCTTGAGTCTTCCAGCTTTTCCTAGTAAAGTCCCTATTCCTATTTCAGTTTTTTTTTTTCTTTTCTCCTTATAGTGGACATTTGGGAGCAATAAAAATAAGAAGAAAGGAAAAGCCAGAAAAATAGAGAAGAAAGGAACGATGAAGAAACAGGCCAACAAAACTGCCTCCTCAGGCAGTTCAGACAAAGACAGTTCAGCTGAGAGCTCAGCCCCTGAGGAAGGTGAGCTGAGCAGCCCAGACCTGGAAGGTCAACTCCCACTCTTGTCAGCTTGAAGGTGCAAAGGCAGAAATGGGGAGGAAGGGGGGTACCTGCATTTAGCATGACCTCTGTCTTTAGAGCAGTGGTTCTTAACTTTTTCCATGGTCATGGATGCTTTGAGAATCTGAATGATGCAAGAAAAATGTATGCAATTCCAAAAGGTTGGTGAGAGCCCTGAAACCTATCCCTGGAACCCACGAGGATTCCTGCATGGTCTTGAACACCCTGAATGCCTTCTCCTTTTTTTTCTTGCTTATGCATAGTCTGACTGGGAAGGGAAATCTTGGTACAAAACTCAGTAGAAAATGTTATTTTTTTGGAAGCCAATTCCAGAATTTTTTAGCACTAGTTTGAAAAGTGAACTTGGGCCAAGTGCAGTGGCTCATGGCTGTAATCTCAACACTTTGGGAGGCCAGGGTGGGAGGGTCACTTGAGCCCAGGAGTTCAGGACCAGCCTGGATAACTTAGTGAGATCCCATCTCTACAAGAATGTTGTGGTACACACTTGTGGTCCCAACTGCTCCGGAAGCTGAGGTGGGAGGATCGCTTGAGATTAGGAGTCTGTGAGCTATGATCATACCACTGCACTTCAGCCTAAGTGACAGAGCAAGACCCTGTCTCAACAACAAAAAAAAGTAGGAAAGAAAAAAGAAAAATGCAAGGACACTGGGAAAGAAAATGAAAGTGAACTTGTTCCGGGACTAGAATGATAACCTATAAATTATTTAAAAATTTAAAAGTGTTTTCTAAAATAATGTTTATATACAAGCTGGCTTTATAAAATTGGCCTAACCTGGTTTTGAGCACGTGTCTATGAATGTTAGCTCAAACTGAGTCAAGTACAGTTCCTGTTAAATTGCTGACTTAGCTCAGTACTCATTGTACTCACATATTTTTTCCATGCCAACATTTGTCCTATTAAGATCCACTGTTATTAGAAATTCACTAATCAGATTTTAATGATTCATTAAAATGTTTTTTTTTTTTTTTTTTTTTTTTTTTTTTTTATTTATTTATTTTCGAGACAGAGTTTTGCTGTTGTTGCCCAGGCTACAGTGCAATGACATGACCTTGGCTCACTGCAACTTCCGCCTCCTAGGGTTAAAGCAATTCTGCATCGGTCTCTCCCAAGTAGCTGGGATTACAGGCGTCCACCACCACAGCCAGCTAATGTTTTGTATTTTTTTTTTTGAGACGGAGTTTCACTCATGTTACCCAGGCTGGAGTGCAATGGCGCGATCTCGGCTCACCGCAACCTCGGTTCAGGCAATTCTCCTGCCTCAGCCTCCTGAGTAGCTGGGATTACAGGCACGCACCACCATGCCCAGCTAATTTTTTGTATTTTTAGTAGAGACGGGGTCTCACCATGTTGACCAGGATGGTCTCGATCTCTTGACCTCGTGATCCACCCGCCTCGGACTCCCAAAGTGCTGGGATTACAGGCTTGAGCCACCGCGCCCGGCCATGTTTTGTATTTTTAATAGAGATGGGGTTTCATCATGTTAGCCAGGTTGGTCTTGAATTCCTGACCTCAGGTGGTCTACCCACCTTGTCCTCCCATGGTGCTGGGATTACAGGCGTGAGCTACTGCACCTGACCATAATTTTTTTTTAATGCCAGCTAATAAATGAAAAAAGTTACAGGGTTAGAAAAATCACCACTTTTCTTTCTTTCTTTCTTTCTTTTTCTGAGATGGAGTATCGCCCTGTCATCCAGGTTGGAGTGCAATGGCACGATCTCGGCTCACTACAACCTCTGCCTCCCAGGTTCAAGTGATTCTCCTGCCTCAGCCTCCCAAGTAGCTAGGGGACTACAGGCATCCACCACGACACCTAGCTAATTTTGTATTTTTAGTAAAGACGGATTTTCACCATATTGGCCAGGCTACTCTCAAACTCCTGACCTTGTGATCCATCTATCTTGTCCTCTCCAAGTGCTGGGATTACAGGTATGAGTCACTGTCCTCGGCCACCTCTTTTCAATCATAGTGATAAAGTTGATTTACTCAAGAATCCTCAATGATTGTTAAAACCACTGGTTGAGAATTCATTGGAAAACAATATTTTATAATCTTAAACTTTCTCCCTATAAATACTGTTATACAAAGAGGAAAAGGTGCCTTTACAAAGGGAAAATCTGGAAGACACCACCTTTACCAAGTAATCCAAATTAAAATAGTGGGACAAACATATTAGTTAGGGTGTCCCGATGTGATAACGTTGAAAAGGACACAATCACTTACGTAGTATTCTTGCCAAAAATGCATAACCTAAATTGTTTCTTAACAAATTAACCAAACCAAATGAGGTGGACTTGATAACTGTTGCTATTTCAACTTAAATTAACTAAAAATTAATGTTTAAAATATAGTTTTTCAGTTGCACTAGCCACATTTCAGTTTGTGAATGGTTATATGTTGTGGCTGCTATTCAGATAGAGAATATTTTTATCATCACCTCACAAAATTCTACTAGACAATTTTTTGGGCTTATACTCTTCAAAAATTCAATGTACCAACAAATGGATAAATATAATATATATGTGTCCCATGGAATATTACTCAGCCATAAAACGGAATGAAATAATGGCCTTTGCAGCAACTTGAGTGGAGCTGGAGGCCATTTTTCTAAGTGAAATAACTCAGGAATGGAAAACAAAGTATTGTATGTTCTCATGTGTAAGTGGTGGTTAAGCCATGAGGATGCAAAGTCATAGAATGATATAATGGGGCCAGGTGTGGTGGCTCATGCCTATAGTCCCAGCACTTTGGGAGGCTGAAGTGATCGGATCACCTGAGGTCAGGAGTTCAAGACCAGCCTCACCAACATGGAGAAACCCCGTCTTTATTAAAAAAACAAAATTTTCCAGGCATGGTGGCACATGCCTGTAATCCCAGCTTCTTGGGAGGCTGAGGCAGGAGAATCACTTGAACTCGGGAGGCAGACATTGCGGTGATCCGAGATCATGCCATTGCACTCCAGCCTGGGCAATAAGAGCAAAACTCCATCTCAAAAACTAAAAAGAGAGAGAAACTGCCCTCTTTAGGGGTGAAGGGCCATGATCTTTGCAACTACTTTTAATTCAGCAACATAAATAATAAACGTGAATACATTATTTTTTATATGTGCAGAGAAAGTAAATTGGCTTTGGTGGGTAAATCTTAAGGAAAGGATTTATAGGAGTCAAATTATTCTTGCAACTTTTCTGCAGGCTTACAATTTTGTCAAAATAAAAAAAAAAAGCATTAAAATAAACTGGGAGGCTGGACGCCGTGGCTTATGCCTGTAATCTCAGTACTTTGAGAGGTTGAGGTGGGCAGATTACCTGAGGTCAGGAGTTTGATACCAGCCTGACCAACATGGTGAAACCCTATCTTTACTAAGAGTACAAAATTAGCTGGGCGTGGTGGCACGTGCCTATAAACCTAGCTACTTGGGAGACTGAGGCAAGAAAATCGATTGAACCCGGGAGGCAGAGGTTGCAGTGAGCCGAGATTGCGCCACTGCATTCAAGCCTGGCGACAGCAAGATTGCTGCTCAAAAAATAATAAAAAAATAAATAAATAAGCTGGGGCCAGGTGTGGTGGCTCATGCCTATAATCCCAGCACTTTGGGAGGCCAACACAGAAGGATTGCTTGAGCCCAAGAGTTCTAGACCAGCCTGGGCAACAAAGTGAGACCCTAGTTTTATTTTAAAAGTAAAAATAAATAGGCTGGGTGCAGTGGCTTACACCTGTAATCTCAGCACTGGGAGGCCAAGGTGGGCAGATCACCTGAGGTCGGGAATTCGAGACCAGCATGACCAATATGGCAAAACCCTGTCTCTAATAAAAATACGAAATTAGCCGGATTACACCTGTAATCCCAGCTCCTTGGGAGGCTGAGGCAGGAGAATCACTTGAACCGGGGAGGCAGAGGTTGCAGTGAGCCGAGATTGTGCCATTGTACTCCAGCCTAGGCAACAAAAGCAAAACTTCGTCTCAAAAAAGAAGTAAAAATAAGTAAAATAACAAACTAATTTCTTGTTCTAGACTAAAGAAGGGTGCTGTTGGCTGGGCACGGTGGCTCACGCCTATAATCTCAACACTTTGGGAGACTGGGGCGGGCCCATCACAAGGTCAGGAGATTGAGACCATCCTGGCCAACGTGGTGAAAACCCCCTCTCTACTAAAATACAAAAAATTAGCAGGGCATAGTGGTGCACACCTGTGGTCCCAGCTACTTGGGAGGCTGAGGCAGGGGAATCGCTTGAATCCAGGCAGCGGAGGTTGCCGTGAGCCAAGATTACGCCACTGCACTCCAGTTTGGCAACAGGGCAAGACTCTGTCTCAAAAAA